AAGTGCTAAAATCGTAGCCACTTACGACAGACAATAGTTATCTCAGAAGGCAGAAAATTGATCTGGAAAAAAAAAAAGTGTGCTTTTTTTGCATTCAATATATGTTCGTATGGTCGCTTCACTAAGGCTCTTACTCAAACTTGTTTCTCTTACTTAAACTTGATTTGTGCTGTACATCTCTCAATATTAAACGACAAGACCCAGACATGGTGGGCACATGATAGGATAACTGATTCTGTACTTGTTGGATATATATGCTTATTTTATGTCTATATACATTGGTGGTATCATCATATGCCCACATTCCCGTGGCACGATATCCTCATTGGTGAGCTTTCTAGCGGCTTCAGTAGTATGTAGCGCTCAAGTTGCAATTAATTTGACGGTAACTCGCTGAAACGGAATCAGTAAGTTGGTGAACGGGGGTTATTAACGAAGCCGCAATCCCTCTAGAAGATGGTACTGAGAGTATACATCTACCCCACGTAGAAATTGTTCTTGTTCGTACATTCGAGGCCCTCGTCCAGCCAATAACTCCAATATTCCTAGATACAGCGTTAATACCACCTTCATCGCAGATTATTTCATAAAAAAAAAAAAGTCTCGGCTGTTTATCCAAGCCTCAGAAGAGTTGAGAAGATTATTGTTACGCGGTTGTTTTCGACATCAGCCAGAATTGAGCCAGGCGAACCTGAGATCTCTTCTAGCCTCTCGATGGCCCCGCGTGCGTCATCATGCTTGCGATTCGTAGAAAAAAAGAAAAAGCCCTAGTAAATGAAATCTCAACTCACTTCACTTCATTGATCATCCGAGAGAGGCCCCTCTGCATCATGTCTCCGGCTTGAACTTTCCTCTCTTCTCTTTCATCGCATTGACCTTCTTCTTGTCCTCTTCGAAACGTTTCAGCAGTTCCGCCTGTTCTTGCTTCCGTCGTTCTCGCAGCTGGAATCGGTAGAAGTCCTTCAACTCAGACTTCTTCTTGTCCGCCTTCTCAACCATCTTTCGTCTAGCCTCCTCGGCCTCGAACTGATTCGCCGGATTGACCTTTCCACCACGCGTAACAGTAACGAAGCCATCCTCATCAGGCTCGTTGCGCAGTCGCTTGCTGAGTTCAGCAGCTTCCTTCTCTTTCCTGTTGAATACATTGAAGAATGCATGTGTAGCCTTTTGTATCTCCGCCTTATTGGCGCGGCAGAGTCGTAAATGGGAAGAGACCCATGGTGAACCCAGCGGCTGGACGTCACCGGAAATGCTTTGGCCCCATACAGGATATTTTTTGGTCTTTTGGAGTTTCGCAATCGCCTTGAGGACGAGTTGTACGCTCTTATCATCAGCAAGCAACACAATAGCCGTGCTACTGCTTCTATGCAGTTGGCGTGTCCAGATATCAGGTAGCCGTGCAGCTTCTTCTTCAGCTCTCTCTTCATCTTCCACATCTCCTCTCTTGCGTTTACGCGCAAATCCAGCAATCTTGATCGCTCGGGCAGGATCGATCGCAACAGCGGCTTTGTTGTCGTCTTCGAAGGTTATAGTCTCGAATCGTCCGGCACCGACAAGATCGGTGAAAATTGCCCTGAAATGAGGCTCTGTACTGTCTGCGGGAATGTTTTTCAGGAAGAGACTGCGCGAATCATTCGCCGTTGGGATTTTGGGCGCATTTCTTCGTATTCGCACTTCATGAATAGCTGTCTCTGGGAATGAAGGCACCGGAGGCATCTGAATGGGCAGAATGGCGAACTGATCGCCAGTCGCATCTAGGGGAGCCATTTTGGCGAGATATTTGGGAGGTAGCAGCTATACGTCTCTCACATAAGAACGAAGTTTTGCTGGCGATTGATGCTCAGAATATTGAGAAAAAATTAGCCCCACTTCCGTATCGATATGAACCGGCCTCTGCAGTCGTACTTAGTGCTACCGCCGCTGTAAGGTCTGTCTGCATGTGCCACTGCGCAAGCAAATAAAGAATACTATTGCCGTAAGTCACAAACGAAATCAAGGAATGCTTTTGAGAAGAAGTCAAAAATACAACACTCAAGGTAGATAAAAAAAAAATTGTTCTGAAGATATTCAGAACAGCAAAAAATGACGAGAGTGGGACTCGAACCCACGCGGATTGCTCCACCAGGAATTGCTGTTAAGGTAGCCTTAACCTGACGCCATAACCAACTCGGCCATCTCGCCGTTAGATAATATGCAGGGGGAATAATTATACTAAGAGGTCTTCCCCTAAGCTGATTAGCAATTCTGCATGAACAACTCTTAGATCTTGTGTGTATGAATGTCACCAAGAATAAATACAAGTTGTCTTCGCAAGCTGATGATACTAGAGGAAGTTCTAGTACAAGTATTAATGAAAGATGAAATATATCTCGAATAAGTAAATGACAGTCTTCTATGAAAACAGTCATCTTGCTCGCATCCAGCATCTACACCTCAATAGTAATTCTTCCCACGCCACGACTCACACACGACAGCATGGAGACATCCTTTTCATCCGGCATGAGCGCTGAGCCTCGATGAATGATTTGCCCATTTATAACAGAAACTTTGCATGTGCCGCAATTACCCACTTCACAGCTTGAAGGAATATCACCAAACTCCCGCTTCAAGACCTCCAACAAACTCTCCTCTTCTCCGACTTTGACAACTTTATTGTTGCGGTTGGCGACTTGTGCCTCGAATGGATCCCCGGTGGTGTCAGCGGAAAAAGCTTCAAAATGTATCTCTTGCGGCGAAATGCCGGCCTCGTCAGCGGTGGCTTTGGCTGCTTCCATCAGACGGTTGGGCCCACAAACATATGTGTAGCTATTCCAGGGAAGGGTCTTCATGATGTTGCCGATGTCCATCCTTTGGCCTTTAGACTTGTCGTATATAATCACTCTGTCCCCATATGATTCCAACCGATCTCGGAAGGGGATGTCGTCGGAAGACCGTACCGCGTAATGGAGTTGAAAGCTCCAGTTAATATTGTCGTATTTGTACATCATGTCCATGAATGCAGTTATGCCAATGCCTCCGGCTATAAAAACGTGATGACTTGCCGCTCCTACTGTTCCGCTAACATCGCTCGTCACATTGCTCACTTGAATGGTATCTCCCTCTTTCAGAGATTGGTGAATATACCGCGAGCCGCCTCGGCTATTTGCGTCAAGAGCAATACCAAACTCCAATCTTCTAACTTCCTCGGCTCCACTTCCGCTACTTGACACCACAGAGTATGCTCTAACAAGGCCATTTCCAAGCTTGAGTCTTGCATGTGCTGCGATAGGGTATTTCTCAGAATGGGGCTTCGGAGGAGCTTCGATTACCAGCGAAACAGTTCTTGGCGTCTCATTTTTGCGGCTGATCACCTTGAAGCTCTCCCAAGCGTCTTCTTTCTTTTGCATTTTCCGTCTTTGCGCCTTGGCCACGCGTCTCTGGAATTGCTTGCGCGCCTCGTTGCCGAGAGCTTCGACTTCAGCCAGCTTCTCGTTCATTTCATCATTGTCAGTCACGCGATGAAGATACTCTTGGACCCGTTCAATAGTCCATTCTGGCCATTTTCTCTCAACTAGCTTCAGCTCATCGCCAGCGTTGACGGTGCCCTCGCGGAGGACGCGGTAATACCATCCAGTGCGGCTAGTCTTGTAAGTTTCAGGGGCGAAATTCTTCAACGAGAAGCGATGATTGAGTTTGAAGCACGGCTGCCGTGGAAGGGATACTTGGAGGATCACTTCTAAACCAACGGAGATAACATCGCCAATACAGACATTTCGTTCATTCATGTGCGCCGTGACAAAGTTCTCTCCAAAACCTCCGGGGACGAACTTATCGATTCTGTCGGGATAAGACTCTTGCCACGACGGATAATGAGAAGAGCAATCTGTAAAGCCAGCCCGTTAGTCTAGAGTCTTTGATATCAGAAATGAAGGAAGCTATTTACATCCAAGGATAGCCTTGTCTAGGCCGCCATGAAATGTAGGATCATGTTCATCTCCTTCGAGTCCCAACTTATCAACCTTCATGGAAACCGTGCGAATTTGCTTGTCAATTCCTGACATGACATTCAAGCCTGGCATTTGTTTCATTCCGGAGGTGCGGATTTCGATAAGCCGGTCCGCCTCAAAGGGCGCCGCAAGATTGTCTAGATATGAGCCTTTCATTGTATTTGTCAATGTTATGAAAGACAGCAGCGGCGAAAAGTTATGCAGAGATGGGAAATCTAAAGGTGTAAGTGGGCGCTTCGCATGAAGTTTAAGGCTACAGTCTGCGTACTGTGTCTCGGATTTACTCGCACTAAAGGGAAAGCTATGACTAACATCGGCCATCCGAGCTCTTGGACTAGACATGCGCGGCTTTATTTATCTACAGTATTGCCATCGAAATAACGAGTCTCATGCATTAAATCATATAGCCTTGTCATTTTTGGCTTACAAATCTCAGGCACTGGTTGCCGGTGCTACTTTACTCGAAGCTTTCTATCCAGTGCTTTCAACTCTTCAGCTGGCGCACTGTATTCGATTCTTGCGGTTAGTCTATCGAACAAGACTTATCGTCAATTGGTATCGAGCAATGTACAAATCGAGTCAAGCTTGTAAACATGGTGTAAGTTATGACATATCTTATCTTTGTTTAGGTAAAGGCCCAATTGGATTCAAGTGACTAGCTGCATCGCCACATACAACTTTTCTTTCTTTGATATTTTCCAATTCCAACAAAACGAACTCAGAAGCAAAATCACAAAGGTAGTTGAGGTTTCATGAAGCTACATCAGTTCCAAGATACCGAAACTCCACGAAATCAATATTAATGCACTGAATCCGAGAAGAATCAATTTTTTCTAGCGCAAAATTTGCATTCCCGTCATCTCGTTTTGGCATTTCCGCGGCATGAAGAAATGCTACCCTGCAAGAAAAAGGAAAAAAAAAAAAAAAAAAAAAAAAAAAAATTATGGGTTGGGTAAAAGTCTAGCGAATCGTGTATAAGGCGAGATACGACAATTTTCGACCAATCGCAGCGTGGGTTCTGTGGTCTAACGGTTAGGACTTTGGATTTTGATGAATGAATCAATTCCAGCAGCGAGGGTTCGACTCCCTCCAGAACCTTTTTTTGCGTCCTTTTTGGGGTTCCTTGTCGGCTGGTAGTGGCGCTAATTTGGCTTACGCCGCGCGCCAATATCCATCTTCTCTCAACAGAGAGAGAAAGAGACTCGATGTTCCAGCTTGTATGCCTTTACAGCGTATATGGCGTTGGATGATCTCTTTTGACTTATATTACAAGCCCATTAACTATATAGCATCATAATTCTTCCTTGTAAAGTCATAGCCATCAAGCATCGGCATGAACAGAGCAATAGTGACTAGCCCTTGGCATTGTCTTGTGCTAACACGTCGATAACGCAGCTGTATGCTCTTCCGTGGTCGCTTCCCTGTACCCCAACGTCAGTTCCATGTATACCAATCCAGGAAAAGAAATAAGACGCTCCAGAGATCTGCTATACCCAATGACTAAACAAGGCTCTTGACAACCTATTTCCCCGAGGTTAGTCATATCATTGGCCAGACTCCTTGCTTCCAACAGAGGGATAATAGAATTGCCGGTTTTCGGCCCCGATGTGGACTGCGGGTCGGGATGTGGCTCCGGATACCCCGCGCCGGGTCCCTGGGTGGTGTAAGTATATAAGATAGACAGCTCTATTGTCAATGGTAAGAGAAGATGAGAAGCCACATCTCATATTTGCGTCGTTTTGCCAAATCTAGACAAATTCAAAGCCCCTTCACACACATCAGGCACATCATGCGTCTCTCCTACGTCGCCGACCCTCCCCCAGTCCAAACCACCGAAGACGCCGCCATCGTGCAGCGCATCCGCGAGCGTCGCGCTCCACGGCCTCTGCAGGCACTGGATCTGACGCTCCTTCACTCTCCCCCTGTAGCAGACGGCTGGAACTCATTTCTCGGAGCCGTGCGTACCAAGACTTCTCTCGCCGACGATGTGCGCGAGCTGGCCATCTCACGCGTCGCAGTGTGCAACAAGGCGTGGTATGAATGGGGGCACCATGCGCCGCTGGCTATCAAGGGCGGCGTGAGCGTTGATGCCATGGAGGCTGTGAAGAACGATGTTCTAGGAGAAAGGCCAGAGGGGCTATTGAGTGAGAAGCAATGGGCTGTGCTGGTGTATACGGATGAGATGACGAGAAACGTGCAAGTCAAGGATGAGACCTTTGCGGCGTTGAAGAGGCATTTTAATGATCAAGAGGTTGTGGAGATTACGGCAACGGTGAGATGGTTTCCTGATGATCTCGCGTTATGAGACATGAGATTAAGATTGTAATTTTTTTTTTTTGTGTGCGATCAATTGCTGATTCTTACATCTTATAGGTCGCTGCCTACAACTGTGTGAGCAGATTTTTGGTCGCCTTGGATGGTACGTTCAAGTCTCAAATTCATCTTCATCTGTTGTTTATTCATGCTTTCTTATGTGCTTTGTCAATTTCTAACGTTGTATAATATAGTTGGTGAAAAGAACAACACTGTCCCTGGCCCTGTTTCTGAGTTGCCTTCCCATTGATCGATATTCACCATAAGCCTTCACACTCATAGCAGATCATAAAAAAGGGGGTCAAGGAAGCCAAAATAAAGGAAAAGCTTTGACCTGAATAATGAGCGTGCAAGGATGTTGCAAACAGGAAGAGAGAAAATTTATTAATTATGAATCATGATAGAGGGCAATATGGCTGCGAGGGAGAAGCCTGTGTATGTTCTCTTCGTGAAACAATATTGTTTTGGTCTACTCTTTGAGCTTGTTGTTGTAACTATAAAAGTCGGGTTGTGACAGACCATTGTTCTGGCTTTGCGTACGACGTCAAGACAGGTCTTCTTTCGCCACCAAAGCAAGAAGGTTATGCATAATTGATGCAAGGCTATCGACGTGTTGCAACGTGATGTCCTATTGGTTAGTCAAGCTGTTACACTAGCTAACCATGATTGTCAGGCCATTCCTTAAAGCCATTCGCCTCAACAATGCATCTCCGCGTAAAGCGGGAACTATCAAGCTTCGGCACCGTAAGGCACACACGTAGGTACATGCAGTGTGGCGCACTCGCTCTCTACTCCCCCACTCATAGGCGCGCCTGCATACCAACAAGGATGGCCTCACAGCCAGCCGGGCGACGATATATATGTATGTGGTCGACGAAAAGGGCCCATGTCCGCGGAGTTGTTTCTCCAGGGAGTGGCGCGCCTGCCTTCCATCTTTTGCTTAAGTTCAAACACTCCTGCTCCGACTTGGGCCAACTTCGTCCAACAACCTTAACCATGAGTGCCTCAACGCTCTTCAAGAGGATTGCGCAAAGGGCCGGCTCCCTGAGATGGCGACTAATAGGTGGCTCTTCCCTGCAGGTACAGCCGGGCTTGGCGCGCCCCACGCCGTTGAAGCCGTCCGGCGCTCGTAAGACGTTGCGGTTCGTCTCCGTGCTTACGGCCTCGGGGGCTGTCGCCGCGAGCGCCGCCTACTGCGCCGGGCAGGCAGACTCTCGCATGTATCTGGTCCAAGATGTGTCCAGCAAGACGGTAAGCATCCAGCGTGCAGAAGAATACCACGGCACGCGATTTACGATTTCCTATGTATTGAAGATAGCACTTGGAGTTATATATCCTGAGCGGCTAACCCCCCGACCAGCTTCACAGTGAGGATGCGCGCTTCGCCTTCTACAATGAACTTGAAGGCAACCCTCCGGACGTCTCCTCACTGCCCATCGAGCACGCGGTGCTCACATCCGCGCCGCATGTGCCACCGCCAGTGACTCGCAATCATCCCGCCCTCGTGAAGGTGGACCTCACGACATCGCCAAAGCTGGTGCAGGTGACGAACCAGTACAAGTACGAGGCGTGGACCTTTAACGGCACAGTCCCGGGCCCCTTCATCCGCGCGCGCGCAGGCGACGTGGTAGAGCTGCGGCTCACGAACCGCGATGAGACGGGCAACCCTCACAACATCGACTCGCACGCCTTTACGGGCCCCGGGGGCGGGTCGGCAGTGACCAACGCCGAAGAGGGGGAGACGAAGACGGCGCGGTTCCGGCTGCTGTGCCCGGGCCTGTTCGTGTACCACTGCGCGGCGGCGCCCATCCCGGTACACATCGCCAACGGCATGTACGGGCTCATGTACGTGCAGCCGGCCGACGACGACAGCGCCGCGGCCGGCCCGGGGGGTCTCCCGCCCGTGGACCGCGAGTACTACGTGATGCAGAGCGAGGTGTATCACGAGCCGCCCGAGCCGGACGAGGACACGGGCCGGCCCTCGTCCACCGTCGAGTTCTCGTACCCGCAGGGCCTGCGCGAGGAGCCCAACGCCGTCGTCTTCAACGGGCGCGAGGCAGCGCTGACCCGCGACGCGCCCCTCAAGGCGCGCACGGGCGAGACGGTGCGCATCTTCTTCGGCAACGGGGGGCCCAACCTGACGAGCTCGTTCCACGTCATCGGCAGCCACTTCCTGCGCGCATACCGCGACGGCGACGTGCTGAGCCCGCCGGGTCGGTTCGTCAGCACCCTAGGCGTGCCGCCGGCGGGCGCCGCCATCGTCGACCTCAAGGTCCTTGTGCCGGGCACGTACACGCTCGTCGACCACGCCATCTTCCGCCTCGACAAGGGCGCCGTGGGCTTCCTCAACGTGGCGGGCGAGCCGCGGCCGGATGTGTACAGCAGCACGGAGCCGCCAGCCCCGTGTGTGGGGTGCAAGCTGCATCCGTGACCGGCTTACACGCGGGATCATGGCATGGGACAGCCTAGGAGGGCTCCTACGCAGCGGGCTGCTTGGTGAGGTAGCCAAATGAAGATGATATTCAATATCAGAAATCAGTGAGTCCAAGGCAGCTCAATACTATAAACGTTGCTCATGCTCTCTCTGGTATTTTTTTTTTCTGGATTAAAGAGTTATAGAATCAACGGGGGGTATACTAACTACATGTATCTCAAGAAGGTCTGTGTGAAATCATCCAAATCAAAGGAAGTAAAACAATCCAAAATCCAAAATCCAAAATCCAAAATCCAAAATCCAAAATCCAAAATCCCAAGCCCGCCGTCCCCATCTTTATAACCGCGCGCGCCATGGCAAGACATTTTGTTGCCTCATAAGTTAGATACTTTTCTTTTCTCATACGTCGTTAAAGAAATTTGTTGGCCAACAATTATTCTGGCTTATAATATCATCTCTTTTTTAGTCATTCTCGTTACCGGTAGTGTTCGTGTAAGATTCATAAGGAAAGTCGTGGCCATGTCGTCGTTAATTCTACTGCTTGCATGCCGTTGAATGTGTTTATGGGTGTGTTTGTTTGTGTGCAGGTGTATCGTATCTGAGTTGGCAACTCAGTCTAGTTGAGCCAGTTACGAGAGAAAATGGTTAAAAAAAAAGAAAGCAAAATAAAGAAAAGAGAAGATGGACTTCTAAAGGGGCAAGGTAGCCAGCCCGACCCAGTTTTCAACCCCCTTAGTGTGAAGGATCTTCCATGAGCTTTTCGATGGAAGCATGTCGTGCTCGCATCCGCGGCGACATTTGCAACTCCTGGACAACTCCGGCCCAGCCACTCCGCTGGGGTGTCTCGACATGCTCGTGGTGACCGATGGCCTGGGTAGTCAGTCTTCGAGTCGGCGTGCGCTTTGGCAGATCATCAAATGATTTCTTCGCCGAGAGTCTGCTGGGTGTTGTGTAAGTGGCCGTCTTCTCCGGCTGCTTGGGTAGTGGTGGTGGAGGGGGAGGCTGCTTTTCGGCGATGGAGGTGATGATGCCCAGATAGACCATCATGAAGCGCATGCGAAGCGAGTCTAGGCGTTTCATCCTCTCTTCTATCTGCGCGCGCTTCGACGCCCACATGATCCTCGAGCTGGTCCGCAGCGTGGTTGCGCTCTCCTCGCGGACCAGTTGGTTCAGGTCGTCGCGCAAGTCATCGCCGATCCTCTGGATTTCCCGCAGCAGACGGTTGAGGCGGATCTTGTCTTCAAGACGCGGAACCTTGGAGACGTCGCGGTCGTAGCCTTCGTTTTCTTCAATGGAAAAGTCAAGCGTGTCGATGAAGCTAGCCACCTCCTGCGGCGCAACCCTGTACGCC